GCACAACAGCGACCTCCCACCCCCTTTTGTGTACTTTGTAGACCGCGTGCATTGCACATCCTCAACATCCAAAGCATGAGCGCGGAGCGGTCATGAACGGAGCCTCCTTGTTTCTTTATTCTGTAGACCCACAGACTCGTCCCATAATGTTATCGTCCAACGTTGAAGTTTTCGCTGCCTGGACAAATACGACGTACCCCGTACTACTTGTTTCTTTTACAAAGAAGACTACTCAAATATCGCCCCCGTCGTTGGTCACATCGTGATGCCACTGTTTCCATTCTCGTTGTCGCTTTGGTTGCGCGAGACAGACTAGAAAGCCCTTAAAAAATCTCGGGTAAGCAGAAAACCTGGAAACATCAGGCACTTGTGGTTCTTCAGCGGCACGAGCGGGTATTACAACAGGTTCTGTACGTGATAATTACGTCCTACATCGACATATGTTGTATATGTGCACATATTCGTAAGTAGTTGTTATCCCTGCTGTTTGGTCCCACAGGAAACAAGCTTGTGCGACCGCTGGATCTCTCTCCACTGCCAATTTCTGGCGAATTTTTTATTTTTTGGCGATGGATGATGGTCATCAACTTTGGCAGGGTAGCTCATCCTGGCGGAGGTAGTCTTTGTAATGTGGAGTTTCGTTGTAACAGACTGAAGTTCGAAATTCGGGATTAGAAAAGTCTGCCTTGGCTTCAGCGTAATAGCACTTCGCAGTAGGTGTGCTGGAGAGCTCCTCCGTCGTCAGAACACTGAACTAATTGTGCTCTGGCAATCAGGCTGTAGCTTTGGAGTTTGCAATTCCAGTGGATCGCATCTCTCCTTTCCCATCTATGTGGTGCCTTGTTTTAGTGCGATCTTACGATGCGCTCCATGTGAATGTCGTAAACTCATGGTTAGTCAGTTCCGCGGAGGGCGGAGCAATACGATCTTGAGATGCTTGTGTTCTAAAGTAAGATACATCTTACATTAGACTCTTTTTTTGTCGCTGGAGGCTCGACATTGCTGTTGCCACTTTTGTATTTCACTTACGTGATGGTTTTCTTGCAGAGAAGCTTACCGGTCCCCATTGTTTGGCGTGCATAATAGGCCGCCTGCTATTCCATTGTCATTGTTCGATACGCGACAGCAACGCTAACTTTACCCACTAATGTTGCCCACTAACGGTGCCAACGTTGTCCACTAATGTCCACCCGCCTGTCAAAACTTCTGCATCCAAGCACAAGGATGCATTGGCGTGCGAGCGTCGAAGGAATTGAACACATGAAAGAAAAAGTTGTCTTTGCAGTCACATTTCAATACGGATTATTATAGTGTCGTGGTCGTGGTTTGGGACAAGACTTTCTAAGCGGTGCCACACCTGGAACCCCCCAATTCCCCTATACCACGCCCCTATAAATCGGCATTCTACCAGTCCTGCAGGGCACGGTAGCTCCGTATCCTCGTCTGCCACGCTTCACTGTCTCGTCTTCCCGGCAGGGATGCGCATGTGGAAGGCATCACCAATGCTCCTTGCATCTACGACGCACCACCATAACAACAGGACGGAGCATGAGAAGCAATATTTGCCAAGTAAGTCTCTTGCGTTGCACTCGCAGCTCCTTGCATGGCCGTCCGAGTGAGGGAAACCAAGGCGCACAAATCGTCAGACGCCGTACCAAATCGCATCCTAGAAGCCGGGTGCTGTTCAAATACGGAGTTCTCTCATACTTCGTACATCGGTGCCAAACAACTGAGCAGTGCTGAGGTCAAAGCACCACCCATCCATCTGACCGAAGCATCGCATCTCGTCCTATCTCGTCACGCTCCACACCCTTCTGTCACTTTCCTTGCCTGATGCCCGCTAATAGAATGCGCGAATCAGAATGCCAGGAGCAAGGGTCCGGCCTGGAGAACAGACTCGGGCTCAAGAGAAAACTCACAGAAGGAGGTACCGTCTATGAAAGGCTCGAATTGTTTGCAAAGTGCTGGGTCATCCCATCCTATCAACGCAAGCTGAAAAGGTTGTCTTGTTGTATTAAAAAAAAAGGGACGGTGTGTGAAACCGGTCTCGATATACAGAATATACGCTGTATGATAAGTTTAACGGGAGTGTAATTATACAGTTCTGCTGTCTCCAACATCTCGTCATATGTACTCCGTATTACTTTGTACGAATGTGGCCCACTGGAACCAACCCACACCATAATCCCGGAGCCTCGAATGAGATCCTTTCCCAAGGAGTCCCCTGCCCCCCCCGGGCAAATCTCGACGATGAGACCACAATACAGATCGTTGTGGGTGCTTCCGGCCCCTCAACATGCTTGCCTCCATGTTTCGCCTAATCAGTCGTCTTCGCATCCATTTCAAAAACTCACTGTCTCCCTTTTCTGTGGTCGACACAGGGACTGGAAAGAAAGCCAGCTTCTCAACGACGTGCAGACAAATTGATCCCACTTCGCCTCGCTCTCTCCTGCCTCTCTCTGGCTTGTTTCTGGCTCGTTTGTTTGCTCCTTCTCTTGTATCCTCTGTCGCGTCTCATCCCACGCCCGACCTTGCCATATTGGGACAATCCTTGTCGCCTACATCTCATAAACTAGCCAGAAATGGCTGTCCAAATCATGACAAGGGGAAAGGGCGTGTCCTCTACGTCGTATTTGCCCTCTCGCTTCGATATATTCTCGGCCTTTGAGACCCCCCGCAGCGTCTCTCACTTCACTGGGTTTTTTCGTTTGCCTAGTTGAGTGGCAGCCCATTGCAATGATCGAGTCGGTGCAGGAACTGTGCTGAAAATCACGTTTGTGTCCTGCCCACCTTCTTGCTGCTCAACTTGACTTGTTAACAAGAGCGACCATTCTGTTGTCGAACGAACCATCTGAATTTTATTTGTCGGCTTTGTATTATCCGATTACGGGTGATACTGCCGACAATAATTAATCCGTATCGTTTACGATTGTCGCGCATCGCCCAATTTTTATCCCATATTTTCATTCTCCCAATTTCCCGGTCCAGTCCGTCCCCATTCCATAGCCAATCCTCTGCTCAGACCCAGTTCCCGTTATCTGTGCGATCAAACCTGGTTATCGAGCTTTTACAGCGCCCCGACGCGCCTTCCCCAGCCCTGTTCCTGCCAATGCATGGTTAATTTTCGATGTATTATGGAGTAATAAAGCCGCAGTAGAAAATAAACTTGACCACGCACGCGAAATAAGCTTTTGTGTTTTGTCTGTCAGCTGTGAGGAATCCAAAGAAAATACAAGTTTACCGTTAGTTTCAATGGTATTATATAAAATCAAACGTAAAGAAACATGTGCCCATACAGAATACTATACGGGGTGCAGACAAACCTTTTCTGGGCTCGTCTTACATGTCGTCTCAGCTCCACGCGCGTCAAGAAGGTGCAAATATTGTCCTGCCCTCGTGGGAAATAACAAAAGATGGAGCTGTCCACCGTTTCTTCGTCTTCGTCCTCCATGGGCTCCACCACCGAATCTTTGGCCAAGACACCGTCACCGCATCGCTCCGCAAGCCCCCCCTTTTATCACCCCCGGTGCACTCATTCTTTAGCTACCATTTTCGTTTCCTTCTATTTTTTTTTCGCGCAGGAACATGCATTCAGCGTATGCACACGCCCCTTCACACCCCTTCCCTCGTTCCTTCCTGCCCCCGGTCCACCACCACCACCCCCCTTTCCCAACCCAAAGATTCGCTCTTTACCCACACTCAAACCCATCCCATCCCATCGTGCTTTCCCAGGTCCACTGTCCCAGTCCGTTCCCAGAGAGTGGCAAAATCCAAGGCAGGCCCAAAGTGGTCACAGTGTTTCCAGGTGTTCAGTCCCAGCGTGCCTTCCAAATCCCAGTCCCAGTCCACAGGACCCAGCCCCGCCCAAGGGCCCAGTCAGTCCTGCGGGCCTATCCAGCGAACATTCAGCCCCAGCAAGTGTGCTTTCTTGCTTCCCTGGCCTGCCCCGGCCTCCACCTTCCCTGTCTTGAACTGGCACGCACCTTTTGACAACTCCTTTCCTCTGATGGATACATGACTAGACGCCTGCCCTCAACACTCGTGCAACACGATTTTGCACTCTTATTTGAATTTTCACCTTTTCCTGCTCAACCTTTCCTTCACCTCGAATCTCAACTTCGACCTCCCATCTTCCAACCCTCTGTTGCCTACGTTCGTCTTGCCGCTCTCCTTGACCTGCTTCTTCCCTCTAAAAGTCGGCAACGCGTCCGTATTTCCGGCCGCGACGACCTTCGGCTCACTTGTTTCGTTCTTTCTTTCTCACCTTTTGTTATCGTTTCCTTATTCTCGCTTACCTTCCTTTTTCGTTTCCGTTCTCTCTACCCTCAGCAGCTTCACAGCCGCTCCCATACACCTTTTCCTTTTGTCTTATTTTACTTTACACAAAGAGTACTCCGTACATGACGACATATACGGCAAGCAGAAGGTTCTGACAACGGGATCTTCAGTTCTACCAAAAGCTGGAGGGTCCAGAACGAAACTCGAAACTCGAAACTCGACGCAACAAAACGGGGCCGAGCCGACCCACGGACCACGGACCAGGACAACAGATCACAACTTGCGAATTGCGGATCTCGCGAACCTCGCACAATAGGCCTACGGCCACGACCGCGCTCAACCGCCGTCTGTCTAAATGTTCCCAGCACTGGTCTGCTCCGCTGAATAAGACAGTCCCCAGGACCGTCCGAGCTGTGTGCATCACGACCCTGCGCTGACCGCTATGGAAGTAGGAGAAACTGGCTCCGGGCAAAGGTGGGTACAAAATCAACAAGTCGAGAGTCTTGACGAGACTGGAGGGAGGGTAATACGGGTCTTAGAGGGACTGGGAACATACCATCGTCTGACTTCCAAGGATATCGTCTGCCAGCATCCCACGCAACGCAACTGCGCACAGCATCCTGAGCAACAGCACAGACCACTACAATCAACCACGGGACTCTAGAGACGTCAGAGAACCGCAGGACCAAAGAGACAACAGAGACCCGCGAGACGCCTCCAACATGGCCACTGCAGCCCTCATCAGCCCAAACACCCCCTACTATCCACACCACTCGCCCTCACCGTACTCGTCTGGCGGCTACTACCAACAACAGGGACCGCAACAAGAACAACAACAAGACGCGTCACAAAACCGCGGTCCCGGAAACGGCCACGCCCACATCCACAGTCACTCTCACGGTCACGGTCACGGTCACGGTCACGTACAAATATCACCGTCCAGTACAGCGGCTGGAATGATTTCGCCAGTCGATTCGCGCCGTACCTCCGACGACCACGACATGTCGGGCCACCGCCAGTCTCTTCCCTCTCTCAAAGAGATTATTGGCAAGACTACCTCTTCGAGTTACCACCACCCGTCGTCGGCGCCACCTAGTGGACCTCAGCATGGGCTGCCCTCTCCTTTCTCGACAACGGCCCCACCACGGCCTTTCCCAGCCGAGTCCCCCAGCGACATGCAGCATTCGCCTCGATCACTGCACCACCCGGCTTCTATCCCACCGCCTCCTTCGTCCATGTACAACCAACGACCAGAACCAACAACGACATTTCCCGCGCCACCACGTCCGCCGCTTCCCGGCCGAGCACATGGTACCCCTCCGCCGAATGCAGAGTCTCACCAGGGCGGGCAGCCACCGTCTTCGGTTCAGTCTTTGATTAATCCACAGCACCCGGCACAGCATGTGCCGCACTATCCTCACTCGTCGCAACAGCAGCGCCACCCTCAGGATCAACCTCCTTCGCAACTCCAATCATACCACCACCAAGGCCCAGCGCCACGTGATGCTCGGTCTGCTCACGGCGACAGCCCACCATCATACCATGCGTATCCGAATGCGCCTGCCCAGCAACCGCCATACCCATCACACGCGGCCTCCCAACATCCTCTGCCACCCCCGCCGCCTACGCAGGGCCACATGTCATCATCCCACTCAGCATCGCCTCACCATTCAGGGCCTCCATCGTTGCCGTCTCCCTTCGAGTCACATCAGCAAACCTTGATGCATGAGCCTCCCGTCGACTTGAACCGGTCACGGACACGGTACGATCAGGCAGTCTCCCGGCACTTTGAATCTTGGAGCTACACGGAGTATCTCGCACGGGTATGTATACTTTCTCTGCTGTGAATCTGACGTGGAGGTGCCATGGTCGTTCTTCGCATGTCTTTATATCTTAAAAGAATCCTTAGCTAACAGTGGCCAACAGATTGGAAGCAATTCACGGACAATATACAACTTCGCTGAGGCCTTTGGCAGTATCGCACGGGAAGAGCACGGGCCGCACCCGATGCCGGGGCGCATGCCGAGCGACCGCGAAGTTTGCGAAATGATCAGCAATGCAGAGTGGCTGAAAACGATGCTGGAAAGCCTTCGCCACATGGTCCAGAACACTGTCAGTGAAGGCAACTCTGGACCTGGCAGCGGAAATGCGAGTGGCCCTTCCAGTGGCAGTAGCGGCAGGCAGAAGCCTGCAAATCTGGATGACGCGGACATGCCAATGTACAGCGAACCCGGGCAAAAGCCGTACGGCATGGAGGTGAAGAAGAGACGAGGCGTATGTTCATCCACCCCACCTCTTCCCGAATCGCCGTATTATTATTGTTGAATTAAATAACTGATTGTGGTTTACAGAGAGCTGCACCGCCTGGAAGATGCCACAGCTGCAACCGCATCGATACACCCGAATGGCGGCGGGGACCTGATGGTGCCCGCACGCTCTGTAACGCATGCGGTCTTCATTATGCAAAGCTTGAGCGCAAGAAGCAGTTGGAGAGTCGGCAAATTCGGCCCAAACATCCAGACGACCGACGCTGAACGAACTACAGCAACAAAATGCTCCATCAACTATTTCCACATCCAAACCCTCTCAACGTATCGAACTTGAACTTTCGTAACGCTCAGCGGGCAACCAATGAATACAAAACATGGCGAGAAAAAAGCGACTATATAACTTGTTATTCTAATCCATTATTTATTTCAGAAGGCATTTACACAAAGATGAGATAAGGCGGCAATGGCCGTTGACGACAAAGGTGAACCATCGGACACCAACGTTTGGATATATATTTTTTTCGGATTTTTTGGGGCTTTTTAATTTCTGTTTTATTCGCGAGTTTTCCTGCATTTTGCAGTACCACTTTGGTTGCTCTTCGTTTCTTACGTTCACCTTATTGGTACCGTTTCCAATCCATACCCGGTGTTGGTCAGAGGGCCCTCGTTTGGCTCTTGGGTATCAAGGCGTGTGTAAGTGTAGATGGCTAGGCGGTGTCAAAAAAAGCTGGGCGCCATCGCAGCTTGGGGTAAGGGCATTTTCTCTATGCCGCCGATTTACGTGTCCTTGCCATGTTCCTTTTTTTTTTTGACAAAAATCGGCCTAGAATCGGTTTTTTGGTGTATATATACCCCCTTATCTTGTTTTGTTCCTTTTCACTTATTTTCAACTATATTCTCAGTGGAGCGTCCTGTTTACCATCTCTCGCATGGCTGGCGGAACAGCACAGAATCAGACGCATCTCAAAATTACAACTGCACCAACAAATAGAATGGATTTGTACCATGGCCGTATAGTCTCGACTCAGACGATATGACATCTTCTATTTCACATTTGTGCGCATTAATTATACCAGTGTATTCAGTCAGCTGTTGATTGGCACATTTCTTTCCTCGTCTTCGGTGAACCATATCTACCTGGTCCCCCGATCGATCACGTCGTACTTGTAGATGTGACAAACACAAAACCAGGTGATACAAGTTTACTGCAATGTATAGTTGTTGCAAAGGATGTAGGTGTGGCCGGTGGTGTGTGGGACTGCATTTGTTTCGTATTATTGACTACATGTGAAGTTATTTTTGGGCTCCGGAAATCAATTTTGCCAGAATACGATGTACATGAAGCATGGTTATTTGATACTTGTCAATTGTTTCTGTTTTATGTCTTTTTATATATGTGTGTGTAGAGTCATAATAAAATAATAAAATAATAAAAATAATGCTTTGTTAGTAACAGCGATACTGTAAAACTTTTGCATAGAATTAAAATAAATAACAAGAAAGTGATTGGTGCATATACTCATCTTGTTTCCTCTTCGCTCAGAAGAAAAATACAATAAAGACACACACAAACATGCAAACGCAGTGCCAACGTAGATGTCTCTAAAGAGGCGACCACGAGTTGAACTGCTTGACCTTTAAACACAGCGATATTTCCGTAATCAAGTTTCATAAAACAGCTGGAAAAACGTAGAATGCTCACTAACGGGTTTCTTCTAAATAACCACTTTCGACTAACAAAGTACAAGCATTAATCGCCACTTTTGTGCCGATGTGGTAACAATGGCTTTCAAACACTCAATAAACCATAAAAGGATAGAAAAAGAAAGGAAAACAAAAGACAGTAGTAAAGAACAGAAAAACCGTTTCCTGGCACAATAAACCGTGCCCGTGTGTCTTGGACAACACACATAATCAAAACCCGTACACATATATTACTCTAGTCAACATATTTGTGAACGCAATCTCATTTCGATGACCCTGCGTTTACAAAATCAGAGCACCGGCAAGGGAGAAAAAGAAAACGATAGCAGAGACGATGATCGGGCTCTTGTCCATGGGGCCGACAGTGGCAGGGCCGGCGTTCTTGCTGGAGGTGGGCGACGCGGTGCTCGAACCAGAGCCGGGCGCGGCCATGCTGACGCTGGTGGAGCCTGCATTCTGCGAGCCGCTGCCCGTCAAGCCGGGTCCGGTGCCGGCGCCGCTCTTCATGTAGGCCTTTGCGTCTTCGGGAATAGCAGGCAGCAGGGTCGAGTCGACCAGCCAGTCGGCGTCCTTGGTGGGGCAGGCCTGGGTGTTGGTCGTTGACGTGAAGCCGCCATCGCCAGTAGGGGCCGGGTTCGCACTCAGGGCGCTGGCGAATTTGGTAAACTGCGGCAGCTCGCTGACGCTGGAGCCATCAATCGAGGCAATACCGAACTTATTGACCTCCAGAGCGTACTCGTACATGAGACCACCCGAGTAGACACCAGTCATCTCCTTGTTCATCAGAGCGGCAACCTCGCCAAAGTCACGGCCGTTGGTTATGCAACCGTACTCGGAGAGGAAGATGGGAAGACCGTAACCAGTGAAGTTCTTGACCTTCTGGTCCCAGCCGGACACGGTGAAGTCGGTGTTGCACCACGAGTAGTCGTTGAAGGCGAAGAAATCGCTGCGCTCGTCGTCAGTGCCGCAGTTCATGTAGTCTGCCAGTTGCATGCGGTTCTGCGACACATCGGCGGCCGAGTAGCCAACAGGGACCTTGCGGTAGCCACGCTCCGCAATGTACTGACGGATGTCGCGTGTGACAGCCTTGACAAACGGCGCAGAGAGGGTGGAGGCAGCGGTGGAGTTAATAACCTCGTTGCCAGAAAAGAAAGCCAGCGTGTTGGAGTACTTGATGAACTCGTCGACGGTGGCAAAGACGCTCTGCAGGTACTTGGCGTTGTAAGAAGGCGCAGGATCGGCACTGTTGATTGAGTACAGGGGATTGTTGACGTCGAGAATGGCGTAGATGCCAGCATCCGCCAGGGCGTTCATGCAGGCGTCGTGGTTCTTGGAGTTGTCGGTGATGTACACACGGACGGTATTGACACCCAGCTTCTTGAACTCAGCAATGTCACGGTTGCAGATGTCGGAATCGGCGAGGGGGTCCTTGGAGTCAGACGAGCCACCAGGCTGGTAATCAATACCACGGATGTAGAAACGCGTCTTATCAGCCCAGAACGCTAGACGGAGGTCAGTAAGGAGTGCGCGGAGGGGTCAAGAGACGCGGACGAGGCATTACCGTTGCCAGAGGCCGTGACCGTGGGGAGTGAAGCCGCACGGTTGGCTAGCTCGGGGAGAGTTCTAGACGGTTTGGCGTTGACGCCGGACACGGCCGACAGGGCAGCGACAGCCACCGAGGTGAGTGAGAACGAGCGCATTGTGACGTTTGGTGAGAGGTTCGGAGGACAAAAGAAAGTAAAGTTGAACGACGGAGGGTGAGAAGAGAGAAGAGTCAACGAAACACGAAGTACGCGAAGTCGACCAAGATATTAAGATGGCGAGACAAGAAAGAATGCCACGACCGCGTTTGTTTAAAAGACCGGGTCAAATTCCAGTGTCGTCTCGCACAATAGGCAATAAGCCGCGTGGATTAAAAAGACAAGTCGCCTCGGAATGAGAGAAAAAGGAACGAAGAAATAAAAACAAGGGACCAGAAATAAAAGAGTGATACTGGGCCGAAGGCGAGTGTTAGCGAGAGACGAAGAAGACGAAGTCGAAGATGGTGAATGAAGGAAGAGAAGGAGTAGAGGAACGAGGGTTGTCGATGGAAAAAAGGAAGAAAATAACAAAAGAGCAAATGGGAAGGAAAAAGGGAAGGCACTGGGTAGAAAAGAACGAAAGAACAAAAGAACAGTCCCAAAACGGCAACATGTGTGGAATGATGGAAGAAGCGACAAGGGCCGTGCCAAGAAGAGGGCAGCTACGGGGCAGGAGCCCAGAAAAGCAGGGCAAATCTTGGAAGGAAGCGCGGCAAATAGTGTACCAAGCAATCTGTTATTCAGACGGGAAAGAAGGGCCACTAACAAGGGAGAGACCCATGAAGGGCGGAAGTGGTGGAAAAGGTGGGAAGGCCGACAAGGGAGAGGGGAGGGGCGAGGGGAAAAGGAGGTGTGGACGTAGCGCACTCAACGTGTCATGTCGCGCGTAGATTGGACGCAAGTCGACAAAGGGAAGGAACGATTTGGGGAGACAATGCCAGGAAAGAGCACACGTCGGGGCGTTCTCCTTGCTTGACACAGCCCGGACTTGCAACACTATGGAATGCAGAGCAATACGATTAAATAGAGTACGAAGGCAACGATGTCCACATATGCTGAGGTTGAAGCCGTCATCACTTAGACGCCACGGTCGAACGTTCTGCATAACGGCGATTGTTTTTGCAATCGCTAATACGAATCGGACAATTGTCACGCGACGCAATGCGACGTGACAACGCTACGAGTTTCGTATGTCCCAGATCCACGCAGTTGTGAATTTGCATATGCGTACCGAGTGCGGACGAGACAGAGCAGAGAGTAATTGCAAACTGGGTTTGGGTGGTTGTTGCTGACTATGGCTGTCAGTGCGCGTTCCTGTTCCTGGTGCGAGAAGGTGTACCAAGATGTGCCAGGCCTGTCGGGCGATCCTGCGCTAAGGCCCAGGGACCCATTTTCTATTTCTGGTTCTGATGCGATGGGGTTCGGGGGTATCTCAAACCACGACTCGTTTCTGTGGATTTGGTATGGGCCGCCGAGAACACGATCGGCATCTCCAGTATCGCGATATTCAGGAGCACTGATGATTTGTGGGTGTGACATTCAAGGGTCGCAACAATTTGACGAAAGGTCCAGAAAATTTGTGCATTTGTAAGATTACAATGAATGTCATGGTCTCGTACATGTTTTTACACTGACACTTACTATTATGGAGCACTTTGCATGCAAATAGAGCCATTTTAGGCGGTCCTGCGACGTGCTTAGGAAGGAAACAGCACCGTGAAACAGAGCAGTAAGCTTGTTTAGCATTATCTCGCAAGTCAAGACAGAGAGAGGTGGGCCAAGGGGCTTCGGGGGCTCGGGGGCTCGAAGGGGCTTGTCCGCAGTAAGAAACCTGTGACTATTTGTTTGGCTTGATTCTAGCGTGCGGAGTGAGTCCCAAGCGTCCAATCATGCGAGGCACGGATGCCCCTTCCTCCCGCCAGCTCCGCTCTTGGTGCGCACAACTTAGCAAAAGGGTCGCACATGCCTTGATCTGCTGGG